TCTACGTCATAAGTTGTTGGCACAGTCAGCGCGTATTCAGTCGTTATGTAATTATATTGTTTTTTTATGCACTTCATTATTTTTTACTTGTCTTTTTCTCATTGCCACGAAGTCCTTTAAGATTGCCGTATTTCCTAATATATAATATTAAATTGCAACTAATTGTTTCCCTTTGAGTTGATTTGATTTAGTATGTGATTTGCAGAAGCTTTTATGTAAGTCACAACGATTATGTATCTGACACTAGTGCTGGGACAGCGATCTTCAGCGATCCTGCCCTCTACCTTATACGATCTGCTGGGTGGTAAATTTCACTCCACCCCCACTCTACATAATCCAGGCTTTTTTTTTGCTAAAGCACTTTTTGTAAATTACCTCGTATGGTCTCAAAATTACATTTATTCCATTGCATCATCTAGTTCATCAGATCGTCACATAATTTACCGTCAGCTGTATTTTATTTTGCTTTGTTTATTCCGCTGCGAGTGCTATTGTTAGTCATTGGGCAGCGATTCAAGTAAAACTTCTGATCGTATTTGTAATTTTTTGGACGGGTCTGTGCCAGGTTGGCTCGGCTATCTTTTCAAAATGTAAATTTTTATTTAAGGCCGGTGATACTGTGTAGAGTTATTGTTAGAGATCATGCCGGCACCGAGACAGTATGCAAGTTGTGCTTTGTTTGTATTGTTAAATTCTTCAGTGGAGGTGACCTATCATTCTTGACTGGCAGATGGATGGCGAGTTTTCTTACGGTCGTCTTCGTAAGCGCTTTGTATCATCTGAAAATCACTTGTCTATTCGTGGTCAGTTTGGCGGGTTTTCGATCTTTCTTGTTTGCGTTTTCGATTTCCGAAAGCTAGGTTGGTTACGACATTTGGGACCCACCTTATATTCGGAAATCGGAAACCTAAATAACGGGAGTGAATCAAGGGTTGATTTGAATTTTGGCATGCGACGGCGTTGTACTGAAGCGTGTATCGTTGTTGCATGTGCGCTAAACGAGCAATTATCTTCCCATATGTGCGTAACAAGTGGTGGTCGTGCCATGTCGCATCTACATGCATTTCGAATTTGTGGGCTAAATGGGACAAAGCTGTCCTCACACGTATTCCCTTCCCTGGAATACAATGTAGAGCAGCGCTCTTCGCGCGACCCGCTCCGATTCGGCGCGCAAATTTGAACTACAGCTGGACACGATGTAGCATGAACTAGC